GCGTGTGCGTGTGCGTGTGCGTGTGCGTGTGTGCATGTGTGTGTGTGAATAAGATACCAAATACATGTAAAACAACGTTAAAACAGAGAAAAAGTAGCCAAGTGTTGATTGCGTCATATTGCATTAATGTGTGGAATTCTGCTAAATACTATATTAGTACTAAATAGCGTAGCAGTGAAAATAGCACAAATTAAACAGTTAAGCAGTAAAAACAGTATAAATTCAATAGCTTAGCAGTGAAAATGGCATAAATCACATTTCTTAGTGGTGTATGTATTATTGATTGCGTTGCTTAATGGTGAATCTACCACACATTACGCTACGTATCAGTGAATGTATAACGAATTGCGTTGCTTAATGCTGAATGTATCACAGATTACGTTGCTTAGCAGTGAATTTATAACGGATTGCGTTGTGTAGGCACGGGCTGACCAGGAGAAGCTGAAGGCATATATCAGGAAGGCGATGCGGTCAGCAGCGGAGTTTAACGTTCTGTTCAATAAGGAGCGCCGAGAAGAGAGGCAGGCCTACTTCGACCTTCAAACGCAGGTACGTACAACCTTCAAACCCAGGTTCGCGCGACCTTCAAATACAGGTACATGCGGCCTTCAAACCCAGGTTTGTGGGACCTTCCACCCAGGTACCCGCGACTTTGAAAGCCAGATTCGCGCGATTTTTATCTATAAGGTCATATCTTTTATTATATAGTGATCTATAATGTCAGATACCTACAGAGTCAAATCTCATATTATATTCGCGATAGAGCCAGATAGCTTAGTATATATTCTGTAAAGCCAGATCTCCTATTATATTTTCTATAGAGACAAAATCACTTATACTATTCGCAATAGAGTTGGATACCTTTTTCTCGAGTGCAGAATGGGAGGAACTGGGGTCTCTGCGGATGTTTAGGCTAGGATAATATTTTGGTGGAGCGGGGAGGTGGGATGGTGGAAGACTTCCAGTTCGTAGAGTTAGAAAAATTGTATGTGTGTGATCAGTAGCAATGTAAGAGAATGTATCTTGTATATATCGAGCTATAAGTTGTAGGGGTTTTCGGTTAAATTTTGTACATGGTCATGACATTAAATGCTAATATGTTATCATCCACTGAATCAAATACGTTTTCCAAATTAATACCTAATACCAAGCATATGCATAATAGAAAACAATTAGTATAACAACTACAAGTTCATTTAACCATTAGTGTACATGATACAATATAATATTATTATGATAAAATACACAAATAAGTTATTCCTTACCTTTGGTGGTGAGAAACAGGTCCTTTTTATGCGCGTCCTGCAGGCGTGACGTCCTCGTATGTAGCGTTCTCTTGTCTAGAACGTGCAGACGATCACTACACGTCTCGCGAAAAAAACACGGGAGTCGCAAAGTCTTCACTTCCTCCAATCTTTAAGCTTCTTTCAAGATGGCCGCGTCTCTCTCGCGACTCTGATCGTCGAGATTTGTGTCGCTCGCGGTTCGACACGTCGGACCGCGCGCGATCAACATCGTAGAGTTACCGTCGTCCCGCTCACCTCTCGCCTGTTCCTCGGTCGCCCAGCGTCTCCTCGCTCGTACGTCGCTCGCTCCGCAAAGTTTGTCAGAGTTTGGAAGTGCCGAAGCGGAGTCCGGCGCTCGATGCGGAATCGCGTTCCGCGAAGATCCTTTCGAGAGCGATTAATTAACTAGATTAATTAATTAGATTAATTAATTCTCACACGAGAGAAGCACGTTGTTGCCGCTTCCCAGAATTAGAAATCCTTGTGCAAAACCCCGAATCTAGGCAAGGTCCCGCTGTAATTAGCGAATACTTCTCAAGCATCCTCTTTATTCTCTCGACCGTCTCCGAGAGAGTAAGACACGGGGAGTCAGATAGTGAGAGAGAGAGAGACAGAGAGTAGGGGAGGAGGAGTGGGGGACAGACCCACAGTGGCAGCGGCGGCGGTCTGAGAGAGAGGGGACGCGCGCGAGCGCTCCTATATGAGTGAGCTGTGGGGGACCCCTGCCGGCGTGTCACCACTTGGCTGCTAATGGAGCCACTCTGGTAAACACTGTGCGGCAACGGATAGCTAATGTGTGGCCCGCTGAGCACAGAGAGAGGGCGATGAGGGAGCCTTTTTATGTTCGTATAAGCCGATGTTCATATATCGTAGGCTGGCTTATCATAGTAATGGGTAGGTCTATACGTCACATAGCGGCGAGTTATGCAAGGTGTTGTGAAATACGTACGCACGCACGCGCGCACGCACACAAACGCACACACGCGCACGTACGCAGATACGCACACAAAAGGCATCGCATGCGGTTACAAAAAATATTGTAGCCTATAGAATTTTAGTATGACAAAAAAGCAGCAGCATTCAAACATCACAGGACAAGTAATTATTGCACATCATTAAATCCACATTTGTTCTTGGATTACTTTTCTCACATATAGGAGTCGAGCAGAGTACTTGTTAGCTCTCAGCGAAAGCTGCTGAATGGCATGGAAACTGCCCTGACCTTTTCAGATAGCGAACACTATACGTTGCTATACGGCAATTGCGGTTGCCAAGTGCCACAATAACGCGGCGAATCCATTTATATTGTACCTGTAACCTAATATTAGAACTATATACGTTTCATTTGTACACGGACTAAGAGTATGACAGAACGGTATAACATGTACACCTGCTACAACTCATATTTGACATTTCATACGTCTCATCGTTGACATGGGTTACTAAGCGACTGCTAGGCTATTATATATGCATACACCGCTAAGAGACATTATCTAAGAAGTTCGTCAGTGAAGTTGGGTTAGGCAATGAATGGTAGGCGTAGCCTCTTGTTCAAGTTGTTAATAAAGTACGGCCATACAAAGAGCGCCCTAGGCTGTAGGGGGCAAATCTGCATCTTCACCACCTCCCGTCTTATACGCCGGCCTCCTTTGTCCTTCCATCAGCCTGCTTCCTCTTCTACGGCCCCTCAGCTATCTTTCCTTCCGCCTTTCCACAGGCTCCCACCTCCTCGCTCTCTCAGCAAGCTATATCATGCAGTTATCTTCCGTCCGTACCGCACCCCAACAACGGTGCTTGCACATGCGTAATATTACCAGATAAGAAGAATATTTTGCGAAAATTATGCATTTAATCTTGAGAGGAGGTATTATAGCATAGATTTATATAATAACATTTTATCTGTAGCCCTCTCCCAAGAAATAGGAAGAAGGTCTTGCATGTAAGGTGCCTGCTGCATATACCATTCAGTACATAATCTGGCTAAGTTAGTGTATTGGCGCATGCGCTATATCTTACCAGAGGAGTTATATTTTGTGATAAATATGCATTTAATATGGTTAGGGGGTATCTCAGCACAGATTTCTGTAATTAATTCTTATCAGTAGTCCTGTGTTTATAAATGGGAGAGCGCCCTAGCCTGTAGGGCGCAAATCTCCGTCTTCACCCCCTCCCGTCCTATCCGCCGGCCTCCATTGTCCTTCCCTCAACCTGCTTCTTCTTCTACGGCCCCACAGCTATGTTCCCTTCCGCCTTTCCTCAGTCGCCCACCTCCTCTCTCTCTCTCTCTCTCTCTCTCTCTCTCTCTCTTTAAGTGTTCGCTCAAGCACTATTCTCTAACACTTACATTGAAAACGAGTTGGTATAGCTGTAGTGCTCCGTTGTCCACCAAGTCTTAGGCAACTTGTGCCGAAGGAGAGACTGTTGCGGGTATATATACAGACGAGCATCACTGGTGACCTCGCCTTCATAGCTCTGCTCGTGTATATGTGTGTGCGTGGGCGTTCTTCAGTGCCTACGTGCGTGTGTGCGTGCATGTAGGTATACGTGTGAACGCGTGTGCGTGAGCATGAATGTAATGACACTTAAGCCGTTCCAATAATCAAATGAAAATAAATAAATATTATATAATTATACAAATACATGCAAATGCTTTTATTTCTGATGTTTCAACGTTAACCTACTTTATATCGCTTTATAATTTTACTTGGACGCCGGTTAGACGCTCCTCTACAGCGTACAACGATACCACACACATGTCGCTCCGCACAAATACACAACAGATTTGAGATCGTCATATTTACATTTAGGCTAAGAGCTCATTCTCACAAGAGTCATAGAAAATAAAAACGTAGCACCCCTCCCTCCTGCTCTGTAACGATTAAAAGGATAGCTTCAGAACATTTTCAGGTATGATGTACTGATGAAATCATGGGGCATCACGATTGCCTGAGACCAATTCCGCTACCTAATAATTTCTTATCGCAGTAAGAGGGTTCATATGTTGCCATGTAGCAATTGTCATCTTTGAGTGTATAATAGGTTTTGTAATCATGTGAAAAAACAGGGAACGACTCAAA